CAACAACAACAACAACAACAGCAACACACCTACCACCACCACCACCACCAACATCAACAACAACAGCAATAACAACAACGACAACACAACCACCACCACCACCACCAACAACAACAACAACGACAATGACAACAACAACAGCAGCAGCAGTACCACCACCACCACCACAACTAACAACAACAACAGCAATAACAACAACGACAACACAACCACAACCACCACCAACAACAACAGCTACAACTACACCACTAACATCGACAACAACAGCAATAACAACAACGACAACAACAACAAGAAAAAGACAGCCATACTCTCCTCATCTGCAACAACAACAACAACGACAACGACAACGACAACAACGACAACAACAACAACAACAAGAATAAGACGGCCATGCTCTCCTCACCTGGCGTCCAAGGGTCGTCCATCTCAAAGCTGAACGGCTTCGGTGCGTTTCCAACAAGGGCCTGGAACTCTGGCATGTCCCTCAGGTCCTCAATGTTACTCGTGTTACCCCCCTTGCCACAGACTCTGTCCCTCCCCTGCCTCTCATATGCTGGTGGCCTAGATCCGGGTAAGGGACGCAACTGTTGCTCGCTCTCCCACACACCGCGCTCTCGGGTTTCTAACGAAGAAGAAGTTCGCCTGTGATGTAGCTCAACGGACCTACCATTGCAGCTGCAGACGCTGCTACAATCAAAACCGTCACTCGTTTCACAAGGGACTTTGTCGAGGTGTGGCGTACCCGGTGAGGATGATGATGATGATGATGAAGAAGGGACGGAGAGTTTTTTCCCTTCATTGTCGAACTCTTCTGTGTCGAAACCACGGAAAGATTCCAGCGCCCGGGCTTGGCTCGTATAGATGTTGGGGAAATCTCCGGAGCGTTGGTCGCCGAACAAGCCGCTCGGACTAGGGTGGGACTCAGCCTGGTGGGTGAGATGGTGTGTGCCTGCTTCACCAACTGTTGCTGTTGCTGTTGCTGTTGCTGTTGCTGTTGTTGTTTGTTGTGTCGCTGTCGCTTTTGATGTTGACGCAGCCGTTGGGGCTGCTGGCGCAGGTGGTAGGCCTACTGCCCTGGCGTCAATATGCCGAGATAGACCCGTGTCGTTTCTGTCGTCACAGTTATCATAAACGCCACACACGGACGAGCGGCTGAGAAGAGAAGGGTGGCCATTCTCGCTCTCGTCAACGTCATCATCATCATCATCGTTGTTGTTGTGGTTGTTGTTGGATTTGCTGTTGTGGTTGTAGTTGTCGTCGTCGTCATGGTAACTGTCGCTGTCAAAAGGACAACGGGCATAATATGACGCCACGGCACGGGTAGAGGGGTCGCACCCTTGTCTGGTTGCGACCCCCTCCTCCCAGCTGTCCATGCAAGAGTTTCTGGAACCTGCCAGAGCGCTGTCGGAGAGGTTGTGGGAGAACGAGTTGGTGTCACACCCGACCTCGAAGGTCTGCGAGCTGAGAGGAACACTTGCTAGGTATGTTTGGCTCCTCAGTTCTGCTGTTGATCCATGTCGCCCAAACAAGATACTCTTATCTGTGTCACTACACACCTCACTTCCCGCAAACACACCACTCTTATCTATGTCACTACACACCTCGTTTCCCGCAAACACACCACTCTTATCTGTGTCACTACACACCCCACTCCGTCCAAACACATCGTCTTTATGTGTGTCGCTACACACCTGACCTTCCCCAAACACATCACTTTTACGTGTGTCACTGCACACCCCACCTCCCCCAAGCAAGATACCCTTATCTTCGTCACTGCACACTTTAGCTCCCTGGTTCAGAGACAGTAACTGTGGGTTTGTTTGAGCACATAATGAAGACTGTGGCGACACGCGAAGAGAAGCAGGATATCCTTGGGGACTGTTCTCCTTGAAGACATTCGTGCCGGTACCCACAATGCTGTTGGAATCTGTGCGCTGTGTGGAAGGCTTATTGTTTGTTTCTCTGCACGCTTGGGAAGATTGGGCAAGAGATGGCGATGGCGGTTTGCCACGAAAGGGGTCCGTGTGACACGCTGTAGGATGACACACCGTGTCCGGGGTGTGTGCTGTATGATACACTGTGTCGTTAGTGTGTGAGGGCGAGTGGGCGGGGTCTGTGTGACACGTTGTGCTGGGGGTGTGTGAGGGTGACCAGGCGCCATTCATATAATCTGTCCGAGGAGCGGACTGAGCTCTGACGAGATGGAAATGGGGCTGGGCCGGCCAGGGGGGTGTGGTCTGTGAAGTCAGCAGGAGGGGTGTGGTTTCTGGGGATGTGGTCTGTGGGGGTGTGGTTTGTGGGGGTGTGGTCTGCGGGGGTGTGGTCTGCGGGGGTGTGGTCTCAGACGTCGGCAAGAGGGCTGTGGTCTGTGGGGTCAACAAGGGGGGTGTGGTCTGTAGGCCTGTTGTCTGTGACGTCAGGAAGGGGGGCGGTGGCAGAAGAGGTTTGCCTCGTTTCTTAGTGAAGAGAGGTTTGGTTAGCACACGGGGTTTGGTTACTTGTTTTAAGAAATGCTCAGGTAGGTGTTGTGTGTGTTGTGTGTGTTGTGTGGGTTGCGTGTGTTGTGTGTGTTGTGTGTGTTGTGCGTGTTGTGTGGGTTGTGTGTTTTGTGTGTGTTGTGTGTGTTGTGCGTGTTGTGTGTGTTGTGTGGGTTGCGTGTGTTGTGTGTGTTGTGCGGGTTGCGTGTGTTGTGTGTGTTGTGCGTGTTGTGTGTGTTGTGCGTGTTGTGTGTTTTGTGTGTGTTGTGTGTGTTGTGCGTGTTGTGTGGGTTGCGTGTTTTGTGTGTGTTGTGTGTGTTGTGCGTGTTGTGTGGGTTGCGTGTGTTGTGTGTTTTGTGTGCGCCCTTTGTGCTGTGTGTTTTGAGTGTGCTGTGTGTGATGTGTGTGATGTGTGTGTTGTGTGTGTTGTGTGGGTTGTGTGTGATGTGTGTGATGTGTGTGTTGTGTGCGCCCTTTGTGCTGTGTGTTTTGAGTGTGCTGTGTGTGATGTGTGTGATGTGTGTGTTGTGTGTGCCCTGTGTGCTGTGTGCTTTGCGTGTGCTGCGTCTGTTGCGTGTGTTGTGAGATAGAAACGGGTCCTTTCTGTGAAAGAGACGACGTCAGTTCGGGATATTTCG